AAACTTTGTTTACTATTCATGTTGCCACTTACTAAGCTATCAGCTGACTTAATTGTTTATCATTTCCCGGTGATAGAAGGACTTAGAGTGGATTCATGGCGTAGCGGGGACTAAATTGCATAGACTTCTAGAACATTTATTTATTTTGTTTTAGCTTGTTATGTCAGTTTTGTGTATACATTGTGGTTGGATTTTATTTAGAATTATTTAATTTTTGTGGGCAGTTTGTGTCCCATTTAGTATATATATTTTGGAAGTTGGTTATGGTCGGTTTTGCCATTCGTATTTGTGATATGTCACTAGATTGAGTTTTGGTTATTTATTACTAGACTATTTATTCGATGTGATTATGGATTCGTGTTTGGAGTTACGTGTGCCTTGGGATAAGGCCCTGTGGTTCACGGCCGATTATGCCCAGGTTTGGGGTATGACAATATATAAATAAGATGTAATAGTGGATTTAATGAATTTGTATTATGAAATAAACTATTAAACAAAATTATGTAATTGTGTAATTAATTTTATACCTTCAATTGTTGTACGGATTATGAAAACTTGAAGTAGGAAGTTGATGGAAAAATGTTTGTGTAATATTATATATTTAAAAAATCTACTTATTATATATTGTTTAAGATAAAATTATGATGTGAATAATCTAGTTATAAATTAATGTTTACATTTATAAAATTTCTCATTTATTATTTAAAATTTTCAGTTGATTTATTTATGCATAGTTGTATTTTAGATACAAATCAATTTGTCCATACAAGTTTCCATACTTTGTATACATATCAACTGTTAATATCGTAATTACGGGTATCTCTTACAAGAGATAACCTCTTTCACGCTCATGTCACGTCGAGGTACTGCAAAAGAAAAAACTGCAAAATCGGATCCAATTTATCGCAATCGATTAGTTAATATGTTGGTTAACCGTATTCTGAAACACGGAAAAAAATCATTGGCTTATCAAATTATCTATCGAGCCATGAAGGGAAGTAGACTACTCAAGAATGTCACATTTCATTTATGTCGTAATTGAATAAAGAATTTAGAAAATCTAAATAAAAGGAAGAAGGAAATGAAATCTTGCTTGGTTTTCACTGGGAACTTGAGTAAGGAGTAGACAATGATTTATAGTGGTTCGACTTAAATCAAGCCCACGCCCACTCAACAAGTTTCTCCTTGAGAATTCTCCACTATTCTTCAAATAGTAGCTACACCACTAGTCTCACAGATGCTAGTCTACCTTTACAACAAGTGATCAAACCCGATCACTCCAACTAACTATTTTTGAATCTGGTATCTTGTCACACCTAACCAAGCAATTTTATCTCAAAAAATCACTTACAAAAACTCTATCTTTTTACAAGAACAATAAGAAGGATATGAAAACCCTTTTATAATTTTTGCTCAATATCTTAACAAATTCTTTCTCAAAAAAATATTACTCAATGAAGTGTAATACCGTTTGAATATAACAGATATAATCACTTCTCTTGTTCTACTTCTTCATATAGAATGCCACTAATATGTATGCTCAAAATATATTCGTTAAAGGAGGAGAAACGCTCCTCTTCTGAACTGGACAGATCAAGAACGTCTGCTTCTCGTTTTGTCTTTTTCTTCGAGCACACGGAGTTTAAAAAATTCACGTCCATTGGAGATAGAAAGCTTCACGAGTTAAAAATCTGCCAAAAAATTCGCAGCACCATTTCTGTACAACTCATCTTTTTTGTCTTTTTCTTTTTGACAATCAGCAACCAATGTGAGTTTGTCATGTAATGATAAGTAATGCCATGCAATAAATATTGAGTGCAAAGGCTATTAGCAGATCAGACAAAATAATATGATTTTCCGCTTTTCCAAAGTATGAATATAATATCTTTTTTTGAAAACTTAAAAAAGTAATGCTATTCAAGCCCAAAATTAATTTTATTTTTGTTAAATTAATTTTCAAAATTTTTAAATAAATTTTAAAAATTCAACCAAACAAAAATAATTTTCAACTAAAGTTTTTTCTAGTGGTTGGCGGGGCTATCACGGGATAGTTTTTAGGAGTTTTCTTAAGTGTGCAAGTGCACACCATGTGCCACTTACACAAAAAGTGTAAGTGAAAGGTGTAAGTGTAAGTATAAGGTGTAAGTGTAAGGTGTAAGTGTAAGGTGTAAGGTGTAAGTGGGTTGCATGTGGTGTGCAACCTCAAAAAATGTGTAAGTGTAAGGTTTAATTTTTTACAAAAGGTGTAAGTGTAAGGTGTAAGTGTAAGGTATAAGGTGTAAGGTGTAAGTTGCACACCATAACCAAACCCTAGTTTTTATTTTTTATATAAATTGAAATAGTTAAATAATCTTGTTGTCAATTTCCTACACAAGAATGGGGTAATTTTGCCCACATCCAATAAATATATCAAATTTATTAGCTTCTTCAAAAACATTAAATTTATTTCTACTTTTGTTTAATATTTTTATACAAGTGGAAAGTAATTTATGTTAATTATTACTTTCTTAACATGTAACAAGACCCTAATGAAAAATATACAAGACAATGATGGGCAATTACATCCCCACGTTGAATCACTTTTGTCCAGTTATACCTCCTACTTATTCAAACTCTCGAAATGTACTAGTAATTGTGATTATCTCTACTGTATATTTGTAAAGAAAATGCTCCATTACATCATATAATGACAAGTATAATGATTTTTTTAAATTTAAAATAATTATAAATTTATATTTATATTTCATAATAATTAGATATATAATAGAATTCTCATTTACATGTCTCACACCTCAAATGGTTTGTCTGACGTGAAAATTGAAAACTTAACAATAATTTAAAAATAATGGTTTCTTATATTAAAGTTTTTAAGAATAAATTACACTCATTTCAATTGAAATTTGAAAAAAAATATAATTAGTATATACATTGTATTATAAAAGATATAATATCATTTTTTTATTTATATAATTAATAAATTATTGATGAAAAAGAGTTTAACTATTATGTAAATTAAAATTTCAAAGAAAATCAATATAATTACATTAAAAATATATAACTAATTATATATATTTTTTTAAATTTCAAAAAATAATAAAATAAAATATGATCATCCCTCGAGAGGGACGTGGATTAATTACTACCAAACAAGTTGCAATTTTTAGCTTCTTGTCCTTTATTGTTACTACACGACAGTGACTTTGTCGCTATGTAAAGAAATGAAGAAAAATGTTTTGTAGCTCGAAAGTTTCTCCCCCGAATCCCCCGACTGCCCAAAACGACGTCGTTTTGGGCAGTTTATTTTTTTATTTTTTTATTTTTTTCTAAAACAGAGGGAGAGAGAGGGAGAAACAGAGGAGAGGAGAGAGGGAGAAACAGAGGAGAGGAGAGAGGGAGAAAGAGAGAGGAGGAGAGGAGAGAAGAGAAACAGAGAGAGAGAGAGACGGCGGGTGCGACGGTGGGTGTGGCAATGGCAGTGCAAGCGACGGTGGATGTCAATCGCAGATCGCAGATCGTTGCTCGGGGCAGTTCGTCGGCCGATCGCAGCTCCTCAGCCGATCGTCTCCGCCCCGCCTCTGCCTCTGCCTCTGCCTCTGCCTCCACCTCCGCCCGGTTGATATTGCCCCCTCCAGTCCCTTCTTCTTCCTTCTCTTCTTCCATCTTCTTCCTTCTTCTCTTGATTTTTGGTTGATTCGGGGGATTTGGGGGCTCCAAATTCGAGCTCCCTAGCACGACTCATAAATGAATAGGGAGAGGATTCTCTATATTAGATAATAATTTAAAATTTTTATTTATAATTTAAAATAAAAATTAACATGTATTTCAGATTTAATTTATGTGTAAAATCAATTGTACAATAATTAAAGGAAAAATTACTAGAAAATCCTATTTTAGATTCTTTTATACCAATTAGTCCATGTTTTTTATTTTTATTTTATTAAATCCTAAAGTTTATACTTTTAGACCCGGAGGTCTTGTTTTCAGTTTTATTATATTTTTTTGACCATTTTACCCTTATATATATAACTGCTTGTTTGAATATCATTTTTGGGAAGTTAGCGATCTGCGTTTGAATTCCGGATTCTTTGTAATTTCTGATTTCTTTTTGGCATTTACGATTTGCGATTTGCTAGTTTCTAAAGCTATAGATTGGGCGTGATTTTGCGATTATTGAAGCTCTAGGTTTTGCGCGATTTCAATTTGCGATTTGCGATTTGCAATTTTGTGTGGTTTTCAGTCGATATTCTGGAGAATGTTAGTTTTTGTTTGAGATTGCTGTTGTAATTTGTTCTGTTCTTCGTCGTTCTTCATTGTTTATCATCAATTGATTATGGTGATATTTATGTCATGCGATTAGCGATTAATTCGTTATTGTGATGAAATCATTGTGTTCATATGAAATTTTGAATGATGAAGTTTTGTTGCATCAGTGTTTGAACAAGCAGTTGTTAAGCATTTAGTGAGTTGAAATTTTGAATGATGAAGTTTTGTTGCATCAGTGTTTGAACAAGCTATTCTTAAGCATTTAGTGAACTGGATGTTCACGCTATCAGTATATGAATTTTATAATTAAAAGTGTATGTATGTGTGTATCCTGTGAGCTTAGAATTTGTTGTATGTGGTGTGTATGATGATAAATGTAAGGCTTATGATTGTTTGTTGTATTATGTGAATATTTGAACTATTTAAAAATCCTGATACATTTCATTGTGTTAGCAAATCTTCACACATATGAATGTGATTAAATATTCAAATTTTTTTATGCACTATTGATGATTTTGCAGTGTGATACAAGACAAATGGATTTTTCCATGTTGTTGTTGCACTGCTGTAGGTCAAACATGTTTGTGATAAATGTGGTACAATCATTTTCCTTTGACCAGTTAGTGAAATGTGTGTGCAACAAATGGTGTGATTTGTCTGCTGATTCAATCACTATGTTTTACTGATTGCCGGGATATAAAAATTGTCATTTGGATAACAACGAGGAATTGCAAAACATGTTATTGCTTGGTAAATCAATTGGAGTTGAACAAATTGATATTGTTGTTGACCAAAAATTGGGCGCTGATAGACATAGTAGTTTAGCAAATCCATGCATTGAAGATGAGGATCAAACAAATTTGCTTCGTAGATATTGTACGCACAGTGAGAAGGTTTTGTTGTCTTCAATTTAGGCAAATGGTATTACGCATGTTGGTCAATGTTTTACAGGATGAGCATTTGAGTTTCGTACTGTTTTATGCAAATATGCAGTGCAATGTGGGTTTAAATTCAAATATTTGAAAAACAATTCAGAACGAATTACTGCTGTATGCTCACATAGAGATGATAGGGGATGTTTGTGGTCTGTGCATGGTAGAACCCAAAGAACAAACCAATTTTTCTAGCTTAAGAGATGGACTAAGATACATAGTTGTGATGCTGATGTTCGTACTTAAAAAAATCCAAGGCTCAGCTCTAATTTGGTGTCAAATGTTATATCTGAGCGTGTTAGGGACAGACCACTAACGCGCTCCACTGATGTGGCATATACTTTCAAGGGAGACTGTGGACTTGATATCAGCTACCATGTAGCATGGTTAGGTGTTGAGAAAGCGAGAAAGGCTATGCATGTTGATTACTTAACATCGTTTGACCAACTGAGATGGTATGGTGATGTTGTTCAGCATTATAATCCTGTAAGTCATATCAATATTGACTATGATTTGAAGACTAGTCAGTTTAAAAGGTTTTTTGTAGCATTCCCTGCATGCATAAATGGCTTCAAATATTGTCGCCTTTTGCTTTTTCATAATGGAATATTTCTAAAAGGGAGATACAAAGGGCAGTTGCTTGCAGCGACAGCTAAAGACGGTAACCAAGGTTTGTTTATCTTTTTGATGTGAAGTTTTACATTTGTTTACTTTTTGTGTGTCAGTTGTGACTATTAACATTAGTTTTGTTTTTAGGATTGTTTCCATTAGCCTTTGCAATTGTTGATTCAGAGAGTGAATCGAATTGGTCATGGTTTCTATATGAACTGTCAAAAGTAATTACTGCTGATAGATGCATAACATTTGTATCTGATCGTAATCTAGGGCTTTTGGAAGCAATGCCAAAGGCATTCTCATCAGCATATCATGGATGGTGTTTACAACACCTAAAGAATAATTTTAGGGACAAGTTGAAGGGTATGGAGAATGGTTTCAAGGAATACTTAATAAGGAAGTTGGGTGATTGTGCAAATGAACCTACTGTGACAGGTTTTCATGCATTACTAGAAGAGTTGAAGAGTGAGGGGAAGCAATGCGCATATAACTTCTTGTCAGGGTTGGAACCAGAACATTGGGCAAATGCTTACTTTAGGTAAAGTGTGTACAATTGTGTGTTTCATGGAATATAATGATGGTTATATGTACATTGTTTATATTTTTGTGTTGTTATAACAATGTGAAATGTCACATATGGTATTAAAATGTGACAATTTTTGCTGTCATATGTTAGAGGACAGCAATATGGTGAGATGACATCCAATAACAATTGGATTAAAGAAGCATTAAATCTTTCAATAACAAAATTGGTTGATACTGTCCGGAATCAAATAATGCGGCAAATGTTAGAGCGAATGGATATTGCAAATAAGTGGAATGGAATTATTTGTCCTACCTTTGAGACTAATCTCCAAGATTCATTCAATACTAGTAGGTCATAGAATGTGAGTAAAGCTAATGATGATGTGTTTGAGGTGCATTCGTTTCCATCAGTTACAGTTGATATTGGACACCGTGTTTGTTCTTACTACCAGTGGCAAGTAAATGGATTTCCTTGTGAACATGTTGTTGCGGCTATCCAAAGGAGTGCATATAATCTTAATGATTGTGCTGAAAAATATTTTAATGTAGAGAATTATAGGGAAGCATATGCAGCGGCTATTTTTCCAATACCATCCATGGAGAAACCAACTTTTTCCTCTAGTGATTTTATCAAATTACCTCCAATTGTAAAACGGTCAGCTGGTAGGCTAAGAAAGAGTAGAATACCATCTCGAGAGAAAAAGTAAGTCAAATCAAGTGTGGCAGATGTGGAAAGATGGGCAGGCACAATCGGAAGTCGTGTAAAGAGCCAATACAGAGTTATATTGGTTGATGTGTTGGTGAACATTGTGAATTTCACATTCAGTTTTGAACATTTACAGTGTTTTTTTTTTTTATAGATAAATAAGATACCATTATGAATGTGACATACATTTGCATTGGATACACATTTTATTAGTTGATACATTGGTGTACTTGTTTTGTATTTCGATACAATTTTTCAATAAGAAGTGATTCATTCATTCTATGGAATTTGTCATTTTGTTTTTTTTTTTTTTTTTTCATTTTGTTTATTTATGAAATAGTTTGTTTATCAATTTTATCAAAATAAAATGTTATCTTGTTACATATATACACAATATGTGTTGATGGATGTAATATGATATATGTTTTTGAATAGATTTGAGGTGTGGAAGATGTAAAAAGATGGGCAACCACAATTAAAGTTGTGTAAAGATCAAATATAGAGTTTTATTGGTTCATGTGTTGAATATCGTTGTAAATATTATGTTGACTTATGAATATTTATAGTGCACAATTTGTTTTAGATAAATAACATACTGTTGTGAATGTTATATACATTTGCATTAGTAAACAATTTAGTAGTTTATGTGTGGGTGTACTTGTTGGTGCGAGCTTCTTAATGTGAATTTTCACATTTTGATACAATTTGTCAATAAAAAGGTGATTTGTTCTATAAAATTTGTAATTTTGTAGTTTCTTTACATTTTCTTTATTTTATTGAAATTGTTTGTTTTGATTTTTTACAAAATAAAATGTAAAAAAGTTGCATATATCCCCAATATGTGTTGACATGGTGAGCATATGATATACATATGTGAACTTTCATATTGAGTTGTATTTAACAAACACATATTATGACTAATAATACTCATACACCATGAATAAGACCAAGAAAAAACATTTCATATTAAAAGTACATATCTTGGTAGACAAAATGTATATAGTTATTCATATCAACAACTTTATGGAATTATTGTTTACTAACTAACAATACCCAAGTTCACATGTTAGTGACTGGTATATCATATACAAAACATATTGTACTTAAACAAAACCTGATGTTAACATTGTGTTATCAATATATCAAAAGAAAATGATGGGGTGTGAAAATATGAAGTTTAGTTCTCAGATGCATCCTCCTTGGTGTCAACAACAAAACTTGCATGATTTGTTCTTTCAAGATCATTTAGGAATGCTTCAACTAACACAGCTCTCATAGCAAACCAAGCTTCCTTGTCCAGCATAGGTTCAATCGGTTCATGAAGGGTATGTTGCCTCATTATGTAGCAAAGTGCAACTCTGCAATTAAGACTACAGGAGAAACAAAGAAAAAAAAAGAATCAATACTTTCTTATATTCACATTGGTTATAACTACTATGTCAATGAAAATATTAATTGTAAATACTCACAAATTTGGATCTTGTTGAGGGCATACATCAACTAATTGCAATGGCTTGACAAAGTCTGAGGGTGTTAATGTATCTGCCATATCCGATGTGGAGAGCAATTTCTGAATATGTGATTCGATAGATGTTTTCTGTGATTATGAATATGATTAGATGTGCATAATAGATAATATTTTAACTACTTTGTTGTGTAACTCAACATGTGCATTTTTTCATATTATAGAATGAAATATTGAAATTACCACTATGCTTGCTTGAGCTAGGTGTATGTCTTCAAAACCATCTCTGGGCCACATTGAATTGTAGTGCTTCCACACTCCATCATCCATGTCGCTCACTACTATGGTCCAATGATACTTAAAATGGAGTGAAAAATGCAGATATCAGTATTGGTTTGCATGCTTGATGTGAGGATCAATGAATTTGGTTTGTAGTTCTGCATTTTCATGTTTAATCATGCTCTGTAAAAAGTAACAGCACTTTATGAGTAATGAGTTTTATAAACAAGGGATCAAACTTGTTTTTAATTCAGGATTAAAAAAAATAAAATAACAAATTATACCAAACACAAGCTATTAAAAAATATGTCAAATTGTTGTGAATCTGTCATAATTGATTCCTGCTTTCTTCTTAAAATTTCTGCATATGCATCTATTACCTGTATATATTCAATGTTATTGTGATTATGATGTGAATGTTAATATATATAACCGTGAATACATAATGTACAAAGGACCATACGTTGTTTGTTATGGAATTGTCTTGAATTATTGACTCAAGATCATTATAGAAAACATAAGTCTCCTTGGTGGTTCCTCGCCAAACAGTTAACCTAGATTTAGAATTTAGATATAATAAGAAAGGATAGTATGTAAAGATATAAAAGTCGTTTGAAATATGCTTACCCGTAACCTCCATTTTTATGCATATTTCTTATCTTTTGCTTGTCCTGTTCAGATATAATCTTCCAAACCTAATATTTGTTGGTCAACCTAAACTTATTATGCTTAGGACGCTTAAAGTCTCGAAGCTTGTGCAAATAGTCTTCAAAATCTGGATCTACAACTTCACATTGTTTTTCACTGTCATTTTGTTTTAAATTTTCCAACTTTCTTTTCTGTTTGTCACCCCTTTTTGTTTTGATATTCAAAATCAGGCAACTTCAATTCTTTCATTTTTTTTGATTTTGATGCGCTTCACCAAAGATATAGGAGTTTTTTGGGTCTTCTTCTTCAAATTTTGCTTCAGTTCCACATCCATAGTCTTCTGGTTTATCTGTTGTGTGACAACATGTACTGCATCATCATCAATTTCATTTTCTAGCATAGTTTTCTCAAGTAGGAGTATAGTCTTCTCAATTTGGAGGTCAATTATGGAGTTGCTTTGCCTTTCTATCTCAGTATTCTTATTATCAATTGTAAGTTTGACAGAGGACAAGTCATTCTGAGCTGTTGGATTCTCCTTCTGGTTACATATTAATGTTTCTAGCTCCAAGATGATTTTGTCTTTCATGTCATTTGCTACCTGTAGATTCTAGTTCTCAATTTGTAGTTTCTCGATGAGGTCCAATGCTTTTTGATGGTCAGCGACTATTTTCTCTATAATGTTGTCCTGAGCAACCTTTGACACAATGACTTTATGCACCCCATGTGTATGTAGATATGCAAGAGTCTTTGCATCTTTCTCAATATTGGCTTCATCATGTTCATTGCTCTGAAATTGTATTTCATTGCCAAACTCTCTATCAAATGTCATATCAATGTCATCCTCTGGTATGCTAGGACTCATATCTATTTCTTCCACAATTTTAACGTGATGATCCACACTAGTCTGAAATTGTAGTTGATTGCCCAATTCTACATTGTATGTCTCATCAATGTCATCCTCTTGTATGCTCATGTCCATTTCTTCCTCAATTTTGACTTCATGATGAATAATACTCTCCGGTGCATCTTTTTGATTCTCCTCATCCCAAATTATTTTATGCGTCAACAGTGTGCTCTCACGATCTGTCGGTATGAGTTTCTCTATATAAACCTGGTAATAGAGATTACTGTTAGTTTTAGAACAATAAATAATATTATTCACATTGAATAATGTTGGTATCTAACCTCCTCATCATTGATTGACAACAAAGACAAATTCTTCACATTTTTGTGAAGTTTTGTTAGATTCCATTTGAGAAATCGAGGTGCTGCATTTTGCAAAATTGGTTCCACTATTTTGGTATGCTCACACAGCCAATACTACATAAAATGTAACAAATTGTCAACTATATGATAGAACATTTTCAATGTAAGATGAAAATTAGACTCCAATCATTTACAATGTGAAGATTCACAATTGAAACACAAATGTCAACGATGGAATATTGATAATGAGACTCAACATAATCAATGTAACATGTATAACAAACTCTAAACATTCACAATGAGAAGATTCATACTTCAAACACAAATGTCAACAATAGAATCTTGACAATGTAACCATTCACCCAACATAATCAATGTGATGTGAAAAATAGGCTCCAAATACTAACAATGAGAAAATTCCTACTCAAAAACAATTAGGACATTATTTGATTGAAAAATGTGAATATTGGAATATCATCTATATGATTAAACATTTTCAATATAAGATGAAAATTAGACTCCAAACATTCACTATGGGAAGATTTATACTTCAAACGTGAATGTCAAAACAAAATCTTGACAATGTGACTCAACATAATTAGTTAATATACATGTCAAAAAAAATATTATGATTATAAACTAATGCGAATGTATAGTTTCAACGTACACATTAATATTTATGTGAGTAGATGTAGTATTACATACCATTAAAGCCATAACATAGCCAGTTAGTCGTTCTGGACATCGACGATGAAATTCAATGGAATTCATTAATGTGGACTTCATGGTTTCTGCCCAATCATATTCCCTCATCTTGTGCAAATGCTCCATGTGTTGATAGTATGCCCATCCAATTGTCTCACCAGTTGTGGAATAAAAGAGCTTTAAACAAGCATACAAACTTATCAACCTAGTAACCTTCTCATTATCTGATTTCTTTCTCCTAACCAATGCGTCGTCGATCAAAGATCGGATATTTTTTTATGTAAGCCTCTATGTGTCCTTGCACTTCTTGCCGATAAGTCCAAATGTTGGCTTTGAACCATATGTAGTTTCCATTGGCACAGATCCGTAGTCTACTCCAAAAATTAATTTGATGTCATGTGCAGACAATTTGAGAGATTTGGGGCCAATTTTGAAAGAATTTGATGCAGGGTTATATGTCTCTATGATCTTTGCTATCACATCATCATATTTCATGCATGATGATAGTTCAATTTTTGTGTTTATCAGTGCATGAAACGTCATCCAAAATAAAGTTTTCTTCAAACACTTCAGCTGCCCATCAGTGAACTTTGTTGTTGACATCAACTTTACCAGGCCAGTCATATTTGAACGGTAGTTTACTTTGTTCATATCGACATTGGGTTTCACATCAGCTGGAGCTGCCTCTTCCTCATGGGTTTTTTTTTTTTTTCTTTGGTGTTGATATAACATCTATCAACAAAATGTTAAACAAAAATAGAGACAAGACATTAAGAGGAATAAGTAATTAGCAGTGTTATTAAAATGAATATTGATGAGCACCAAATTTCATAACATCACTCATAGATAATATGTAAAGAATTAGAGAATATGACAGCATCTAAAAATTATTTTGACAGAAAAATGTGAATATTGGAATATCAACTATATGATTGAACATTTTCAATGTAAGATGAAAATTAGATTGTCATGACCCGAACCCGTCCCTAAGGGTTTAGCGTCGCAACCGGCTAGTGATCCTTGGATTACCAAAGGCGTCTTAACAGAATAACTTATAAGCAGAGGCTGAGGAAGCAAATATAGAAACATACATAGTCCAATGAGCTATGGAGACATATATGGGACAAAATTTTAAAACTTTATACACGTATATGTGACGTCATAAATACAGTAGTCTTATGTCACCTAAGCCATTTACACAAAACTTCCAAAACATGTTCAGACTAGACATAAACATTTAGGAGGCACAAAAGTCCCAAAACACAAAAGCTTGGACAGATTTCAAAAGGGACCTCCACGGGAGGCACGATGGCTGGCTGACACCAAAACTCCAAGCGGCAGCTTAGGCCTGGTCACACGCCTGCTCACCTACATACATAATATAGATAATGAACGAAAGCCCAGTGAATAATAACAGAGTAAAGATTTTAATGAATGGTGTCCATAAAGAAATAGAGTCTTGTATGTGATCAAATGTCAAAGTAGAAACAAAATTCATATACGTGGTCGTATTCATATTCAAAGTTCATACATTTCGCATTATATTACGTGGCACATCCATTAGCGTTAACAAATTCGATGACCCATAAAGGGATGGCCGGAAAGGCATTTCGATGACCCATAAAGGGACAACCATAAACTTGTTCTGATGGCCCAGTTAGGGACAGCCATAAGGCATTCTGATGACCCATAAAGGGACTATCATAAACTTATTCCTTATTCTGATGACCTATAAAGGGACGCATATCATATGATGCTAAGGATGCCACGAGTACATTTAAGAAACTTGGACAATCATTCATTCATCCAAAACATAGCATTTCAGAAAAACTGATCATTTCATATCATCAAAAAATAATTAAAGTTAAACATAACTTTACAGAGTTATTACTCACAGATAACTGGTAACTCCAAATAGATGGCAAAGTGGGCAATTCACCCAACCTGAGGCGCGTGACCTACATAACATGGCATATTCATACATTGAAACACACGCTCGGATTGTATATAACTTATTTCATTTGTTCTTAGTGTGTTTCTATCCTTTAACCTCATTATGGAGTCTAGATCATGGCCCGTGAATACCTAAGATGGAATAAGGATGCTAAAGTGCACTTGAAACACTTGACAAAAATTTTGCTGAAATAGGGGTCTCACTCGAGTGGACATACCAAATGTGAGTAGTCACTCGAGTGCACACTCCTTCACTCGAACGGTCTATAAATTATGAAAAGTTCTAGTTGCGTGCAATTTTCGCTCGACAGTCGCTCGAGCGTGAGACTCAGGTCCTCGCTCGAGCGCAACTCTTGTTGCTCGAGCGGACTGCAAAATATGCAAACTTCTGAGAGCAAGCTATTTACGCTTGAGCCAACCTTTTGTCGCTCGAGCGGAAGTCTGAAAATGAAAGTGGTCGCTTAAGCGTAGAATCCTTCGCTCAAGCATGGAAGCAAAATTCTGGGTTTTCCAGATTTGCCTCCAAGTTGCAAACCTTGAATTCAACACTTCAAAACTCATCCTCTTGGGCCAAAATTCTGGAAAATATTTAGAAACTCACAAAACATCATGATTTAAAGATCATTTCATGAAATCAAGGCCCAAAAGTATGCCAATTGTGCAAAAATTCAACTTAAACTTTATGAATGTTCCAAAACATGACATGCATGAAATGATTTGAGCTTCAAGTTTCCAAATCATGATCAAATAAAGTGAGAGGATATAAAACATGATGAATTTCTACAACTAAGCTCAATTTATGACATGCATGAGTGAATTTCCTAGTAAACATGCTCCAAATGTAATGAAATGTACACACATGTAGGAGTTTATCTCCCTTTCTACTTCTTAAGCTTGATTCTTACACCTCAAAGCTCAATTCACTTGAATTCATGAATGAATCAACTCAACTTCAAGACTAAAGGCTTGGTTTCTTACCTTAGATGTTCAATTGCGTCTTAGGTGCTAAATTCTTGAGCTAGATGGTCAATTCTCCAAGGTTCCTTCTAAAAAGTAGCCTTCTTCCCTTGATTTTGAGCTTCTCTTCACTTCCTCTCTTCTTCCTCAAGTTTATACCTCCAATGAAGAAGAAAAATTAAGTCTAGGTGGAGTGAGGGCTCAATAAAGGCTTAGCTAATGATGTTTACTTAGTTTAAGTCAAAGACAACTAAGTGGGATTAAATTAATCTTATTTAATCATTCCGAATCAAATTTCAATTAAACCTACCATAAAATTCTAAAAATTTCAAATAACATATAAATCAAATCAATTTCAGAATCAGATGCCGATAAGACCTTCAATTCGCAAACCGAAACTAAAACATGAACAAATCTTTTTACGTTAAACAAATATAAACACAAAGTGGTGAAATGCACATGTAATTAATTCAGATTTTGATCTTAATAATTATTAGGCATATGAAATCATAGAGTAACGTTAATCATTGGTCGGGGTTGTTACATAGACTCCAAACATTCACAATGGGAAAACTTATACTTCAATCATGAATGTCAAACCAAAACCTTGACAATGTGACTCAACATAATCAATGTAATATGGAAAACAAACTCCAAACATTCACAATGAGAAGATTCATATTTCAAACACAAATGTTAGCAATGTGACAATTCACTCAACATAATCAATGAAATGTTAAAACAAATTCCAAATTCACTCAGCATAATCAATGAAATGTTAAAACAAATTCCAAATACTAACAATGGTGTTTTAAGTCTATTGTAATCTCAACAATATGGCTCAACATAGTCGATGTAGCAATGAAAATAGACTCTAATCATTTACAATTTGAACATTCATACTTGAAACACAAATGTCAATGATGAAATATCAATAATGTGACCCAACATAATCAATGTAATATGGATAACAAACTCTAAACATTCACAATGAGAAGATTCATGCTTCAAACACGAATGTCAATAATGGAATCTTGACAATATGACCATTCACTCAACATAATTAATGTGACGTGAAAAATAGACTCCAAATACTAACAATGAGAAAATTCCTACTCAAAAACAATTAGCACATTATTTTGAATGAAAAATGTGAATATTGAAATATCAACTATATGATTGAACATTTTCAATGTAAGATGAAAATTAGACTCCAAACATTCACAATGAGAAGACTTATAGTTCAATCATGAATGTCAAACCAAAACCTTTACAATGTAACTCAACATAATCAATGTAACATGGAAAACAAACGCCAAACATTTATAATGAGAAGATTCATACTTCAAACACAAATGTTAGCAATGTAACAATTCACTCAACATAATCAATGAAATGTTAAAACAAATTCCAAATACTAACAATGGTGTTTTGAGTTTATTGTAATCTCAACAATATCGCTCAACATAATCGACGTAGTAATAAAAATAGACTCCAATCATTTACAATGTGAACATTCATACTTAGGGCTGAGCAAGGAATTCGTAAAATCCGTAATCCGATCCGGTCTAGTCCAATCCGATAGGTTTGGATTGGTTTTTTGAATCCGTGGTTCGGTTCCGAATTGGAAAATTCAAAATCCGTAGGCCACGGATCGGTTCCGGATTGAACCTCACGGTTCCGGATTGGAACCGATCCGGACCATCTAGAAATAATCTATATTTTTATACTATATACCTTCCCACACCATATAATTTCTTATATGATATAAAAACTAAAATGTAAACCTAATCCAACAGCCTCACCTTCACGCCTCTCACTCTCATCTCATCTCAGGTCTCTATTCTATATCGATGGTGTCTCTCTCTCTTCTCTTTCCCATCTCAGACTGAGTTCTCTCTCTCTCACTCTCATCCATCTCAGATCAGATCAGTGTGCTGCTACTCTCTCTTCGTCGGTGAGCTCTCTCTCTCTCTCGGTGTTCTCATCTCTCATCTCTCTCTCTCGGATCGGTGACTATTTTTGTTTATTTGTTCCCAGATCTCCATCTCAGATTAGATCGATCTATAGCTGTTGTCTTCCTCTTTCGGTGAGCTCCTCTCTCTCTCTCTCTCTCTCTCTCTCTCTCTCTAACACTTTGAAATAGGTTTAATCTCTAACACTCTGAAATAGGTTCCCAGATCATCCATCGCAGATTAGATCGATTGTTCATGTCATCTACAATGGATTCAGTGAATGTAAGTAGGAGATTTTTTTTTTCTATTTTTATTTTTATTTTTATTTTTATTGTGTTTTATGTTTACATTATGTTTTTATTTTTATTTTTATTATGTTTTTTAGATAGATTGTTTTTTTTCTGTTTGTATTTCTATTTTCTGTTTTTATTTTTTATTTTTATTTTCTGATTTCATCTCTGTTTTGTATTTCTATTTTCTGTTGTTGTTTGTAACCATTGATGCACAAATTAGTGTTTATGGAAATTAAACTAGTTAGAAACATTGATTGGTTCTACTTCAAAGCACAAAAGTGTCGAAGATGTCTAGGATTTAAAGCCTGAAACAGCTTGAGTTGATGTCCAGGATTTCTGACCTCTCAGAGCTTATTTTTTATTTCTGCTTTTTAATGTGTTTTTTGTTGATGGGTTTTCATTTTTAACGCTATTCAATCCAGTTTCAAGACTCTTTTTTTTTTTGTCTGATACTTTCATCGAATACCTGGGCTGCATAATTTGTTGATGTTTGAAATTTTTTCTCTACTGCATTGTGTGAGCGTCTTTGCCATAAAATTTAATGGTTTCAGAGTGTGTTTCTGTGTTAATTGGAAGATCCAGTTGCATATTGAATGTTTTTATTGATGGGTTTTCCTTCATGTTGTAATTTTATTTGATCCAGTTTGAAAGCTTTTAGTTTTTTTATTTTTATTTTTTGTTCTTGCATCAAATACTTGGACTGTGTTGAGCTTTGAAAATGTTTCTGTAGAGCATTGTGTGAGTCTCTTTGTCATAGAGTTGAAAGAGTTTCAGAGTTTGTTGATGTGTTAATTAGAAGATCAAGTTTCATATAGTTACTTTTGGTTCTAATCAACTTGATCTTTGAGTTTTGTTGTGGTGTTTGTTCATTTGTTTACATTGTATATAATTTATTGAGGTTCTTTGTTTGGTTCTTAAGTTATGAATATTGAAATGGTAAGTATATCAATTCGAACCAAAAGAGAGATTGCATAAATAGTAATTTTTTTTTAGAAAGTAGGAACTAGGAACTGCCATGTTGAATTTCTGTTTTACAATGCTCTTTACCTTTTTCTTTTTATTCCCTCTTCTTTACCTTTTTCTTGTTGGAATTGATTCAGCACTATTGTTGATGTGTTTTTGCTTGGAATGGATGATGTTTGCTTAGAATGGAGGATGTTTGCTCCAGTTTATAATGGAATGGATGTTGTTTACTTGGAATGGGTGTTGTTTTTACTTATATTGTTTACAGGTTTACAGGAATGGAGTTGCTATTGGAATGGAAATGCTAGTGGCATAGGATGTTTACAGGTTTTCAGTTTATGGAAATGCTAGTGGAATAGAATGGAAATGCTAGTGAAATGAAAGTTTAATTTGGAATGGTTTACAGTTTATAATTTGAAATGAAAATGTAATGTCTATATTTTTTTTGTTATTTAATTATTTAAATCCGTAGTCCTAAACCGATCCAATCCGTGTTTCAACGGATTGGTTCGGATTGGTTCCACAATTTAAACGGATTGGATTGGTTCTAATTTTCTAGGAACCGTAGATAACAGATTGGTCTTGGTTTTCTCCCAATCCGGACCAATCCGGTCCATGCTCACCCCTATTCATACTTGAAATACAAATGTCAATGATGGAATATTGATAATATGACTCAACATGTAAATCAAAGTATAAAACATGCAGCGGATAAAATGTTTAGATCATACCTAGAGATGATAGAACCTCTTGGATAAATCACGTGCTTCCAAAGTCTGATAAACCAACCCAGCAGTGAAGTGATATTACAGATTGAATATCACCCACACAAATCACAGTGCAAATGACTTGATCGTTGTTTTTGGGAGAGAGTCAGTATATGGGTAAAACTCAGATCATACGTTGTTTCTCTCTCAATCACCCATAACCCATATACTAGATATATAATGTGTTATTATTATCTATCCATCTCAGTTAATGGAGATAATATCTGTATCCTGAGTGGTTATCCTAAATAGGTTTGAATTCAATTTCAAAACCTATTTGGATAAGGTTCAAATTCAAATGGTCATGCCACATGGGCGCCCATTACTAACATCTCCCACTCGCACATGAGTTGGCATGACACTGCCACATCTCTATCTCAATCTCCCAAAAAATGAACAATCTCATACTAGCCAATACACCGTGTGACCGCTGAGAACACCTGCATGTGGGAGCTCTGTACTAGAAACTCAATATGAGTCAGCATAGAGACATCAACCCAAAAAGAACAGAAATAGTGTCTCATGTACCCAGACCCATCTAGCTACATCAGTCCAAAAACATCTCTAATCCCTCAAAGAGCATGTTTGACTCTCCTAGGTCCCGCATTATATTCACACCCAATCAGCATCCTATAAAGAGCGATGTGAGTTGTCGACAGTGAATATAGAGCAGAGATGTAGAACTAGATGATCTTCCCTTCACCCTCATATCATTCAATTTAAAATTGACCGCTTTCCCAGTAATGTCCCTTAAAGCCGAATCATACATGACCGCAGGCAACATACCAAAGTAGCTGAACATCAACTCCTCATCTTATGACATAGTCAAAGGTCACAAAAGGCACAAAGTAAAGTCAAAAAAAGACTTTTAGGACTCACACGGTGAAGAAGCAGGGATCCATTCTTTCACCTCGCTAACGGGTCGATAAGCACATGCAGTATGAATGCATGTTATAGTGGAGTTACTCTTCCAAAGAGTGATGTTAAACTCACACACCATACAGATCTTAGTCTAGTCACTCTTAAGCGCACGAGTCGCTTCCTAGCGTCTAACTCGAATTCTCTATTTGCTCGCCTCTCAGGCATCAAATGAGATCTCGCATCTGGCTATCCATAACAGACATATCATGAAAAGTGGGTACTCTCATATCCATGGTCGGTCTCTAACAAGACCTCATCTTGGCTCCAACCAAGGCGACATAGCTAGTGGATAATTTTAGCTTCTAGTCTCATCCTTACTCGCTACCCAGCGCTAAGGGCGATTGCTCGTGTGAGTGAGCCAATCTTGCCTGCTAACATCAATTTAATTGTTTTGTGTATGCTAATTCACAAACCATTACTAAAAGTAGTAAACATAAATGTGTAATAGAAACAAATATGAATACTAATGGCATAAATATCCCAAAAAAAAAAAAAATGAGTTCAACTGAATACACATAAAAATATCACCACCTACGTATTCCTAAAGCCCTAACATGAGTAAGATAAACATCTCTAGCAATGGGCTTAGTCAAAGGGTCCGCAACCATGCGACTCGTAGGGATGTGCTCCAGGATCACTTCTTTCTGCGCCAAAATGTCTCTGATAAAGTTGAACCTCACATCAATGTGTTTGGTTCTGCCATGGTATTTAGGATCCTTCGCGTAAGCGAGTGCAGCCATGCTGTCACAATGGATAGTCACGGGGTCTGAAGTGTGTGTGACAACATCCAAATGCTGAAGGAACCTCCTTAACCACACGGCTTCCTGAACGACAGATGAACAAGCCACAAACTCAGCCTCCATAGTCGATAAGGCGATACAGGATTGCTTCTTACTGCTCCAAGAAATAGCACCAGCGCTAAGCATGAAAGCATATCCTGAAGTAGACTTACGCTCATCTAGGTCTCCTCCCCAGTCAGCATCACAATAGCCAACTAGATGTAGATCTGAACTTTGGTAGCAAAGTGTGTAATCTGCAGTCCCTTTAAGATATCGTAATGTCCTCTTAACTGTTTTCCAATGAGCTGGTCCTGGGTTGGATTGGTAATGACTCACCAATCCGACTGCATAACAAATGTCAGGATGTGTACACATCATAGCATATATCAAGCTTCCAACAGCATTTGCATAGGGAACACGGGCCATCTTTTCATTTTCTTCTTGAGTCTTAGGACCCATATCAAGGCTTAGGCTCTCGCCTTTTGCAACAGGAGTGTCAATGGGTTTGCAGCTCTGCATCTGGAATCGCTCTAGAATAGTCTTAATGTAAGTCTCTTGAGACAAACCAAGAAGTCTCCTAGAGCGATCCCTAAGGATCTTAACACCGAGCACATAGCTCGCCTCACCCATGTCCTTCATTTCAAATGTAGAGAACAACTACATTTTAGTGGCGACAATCATCTCCTTGTCATTTCCAGCCAATAATATGTCATCTACATATAATGACAATATCAGAAAAATGTCCTTGGACCGCTTAACGTACACACAGTGATCTTCATCAATCATCGTAAACCCATTTGAAACAATAGCTTGATGAAATCTCAGATTCCACTGTCTGGATGATTGCTTTAAGCCATAAATAGATCGTTGAAGCTTGCAAACTTTGCGCTCCTGACCTACTGCCACAAAGCCTTCTGGTTGATCCATATGGATCTCTTCATCCAATTCTCCATTGAGAAATGCAGTTTTAACGTCCATCTGATATAGCTCTAATTCCAACTGAGCTACTATGGCCAGGATTAGGCGAATAGAGGCAAACCTTACAACTGGTGAAAAAGTTTCCTCATAGTCCACACCCTCTCGTTGGGTACCTTTTGCCACTAGGCGAGCCTTATACCTTTCTATGGAACCATCCGCCTTGCGCTTGATTTTGAGAACCCATTTGTTCCCAATAGTCTTGCGCCCTAGCGGCAAATCAACCAAGTCCCAGACATGATTTTTCTTCATAGACTCAATTTCTTCTTCCATTGCAGTACTCCATTCTTTACTAGCAGGGAATGAGAGAGCCTCTTTAAGATTCTTAGGCTCCATCTCATCACTCGAAGCAATCATGAATGCTTCCCCTTCAATCTCAAAATGACGACGGGGTATAGCTCCACGTTTGCTTCTACGTAGTTGAGAATCCTGAGAATCCTCATCCATTGGATCAAATCCATGGGCAAGTAGATCGCTCCCACTGTCCCTAGGAGCTTGAGGAATTATTTCCTCATTCTCTACTAAGCTACTAGGTGCGCCTTCAAGTAGATCCTCCATCTCGTAGAATTCTACTTCTCTAGTTACCTCACCACTGCTAGGGAAATCCTCCTCTACGAAATCCACATCTCGCGACTCAATTTCAGTCACACTTCCATCCGGATGCTCCCCAACAAACACATAGCCACCAAGGCGACATAGCTAGTGGATAATTTTAGCTTCTAGTCTCATCCTTACTCGCTACCCAGCGCTAAGGGCGATTGCTCGTGTGAGTGAGCCAATCTTGCCTGCTAACATCAATTTAATTGTTTTGTGTATGCTAATTCACAAACCATTACTAAAAGTAGTAAACATAAATGTGTGATAGAAACAAGTATGAATACTAATGGCATAAATATCCCCAAAAAATGAGTTCAACTGAATACACATAAAAAAAAAT